CGTCTTCGGAAGTGCTACCTGGAACTCGCTTGTCCGCTTCTAAAGGTGATTTCATTCTCAAGCGTGTCTGGAGTGCATACTCTCCTAGCTCGGTCGGTGAGACAGCGAACTACGCCTTATCTCTGACTTGGCGGGACAAAACTGTAGAAATTTGTCTGTTGCCTTGTCCATGTTCTCTCACGAAATTCATTCCTACGAATTGATCCATCCGACGTTAGATTTAACATGACGTCCAGAGAGGAGAGGCACACTCTGTCCTTTTTTTCCTAGGTGAAAGTTAACGCTGGGTAAGTCTAATTCATTATATACAGGAGGGCGTTCAAATCAAGCTTTCATCCGCTATTGCAAAAATGCCACAAACATGCCGAGTATTGGAATAAAGGTCCCTTATACTTGGACAGAGCTGATTCTGCTATAGTTTTCTCATGAAGAAATCAGCTAGTAGAGTCAAAAGGGGTGATCCCATCGCTGCACGGTCAATCTGGCGCTAAAATTGGCCATCGAATCTGAATAAGACATTTAACTTGCAAGGGAAGGGCAATTCCTTTAGTTCTCCGACAGGCATTCTGATTGGGGAATCCTGCCTTGCAATCGCATCACTCAAAAACCTCCTCCGTTCTCCGGGACTAGCTTCCCGTTCCTCTGCATGAGGAGGCGACCCATCTAACCCAGTCTCAGTGCCCTCGAGCAGTGTCTGTAGACGTACCTTCACGCCGTGTAGTTTCTTGGGGATCATCCAAACAAGTGGCCCTCAAACAACGTCTGAGCTATAGTAGGTGGTCTAACTCACGAAATGCCAGCCAAAATTTCGAAATGCGTTCTCGTTTCAAAAAGACTAATTAAGCAGAGCTGTAAAACTAATCATCATTCAGCATAATTCTATAATAATTCAGTTACCTCAGGGTGCCGGCTTTCGAATGAACTTCTTTTTGGCTGCATGCAAGAACTGTAATCCCAAAAAAATGACTACTTAAGTAGCATGTATTCATTTCATTGACTTTCGATGTCCTTGAACATTCAATTACATTTCATGGATACATGCATAAAAATATTCATTCTTTTACTCATTCGGTAGAAAATCACGACTTCTCCCAATTTTATACTCGAAGAAAGGGTATAATTCGGTTTTTAAAAACTTTTCCAATTCCCGAATAATTCTGAACCCGACCTGCTGTTATACTTACATTCAGAGTTTCCAAACTACAAGCCATACATTTTTCGCGTACGGGAAACCATTCATTTCTCTACGGTATTAAGAGGAGACTAAATGGGGTTCATAAAATTTATCAGTGGATTTGGGCAATATTGTTAACTTTACAAGCCAAATTGGTAAATGCAGACACACGGCGTTTTATGAACGGCCATTTCGCGTTATTAAAAAATCTCACAATTAAAAACATTTTTAAAACCGAGTTATACCCCTCCTTCGAGTATAAAGTTGGAAAAAGATGTGATTTTCTACCGAATGAGTAAAAGAATGAATATTTTTCATGTTTCTCATGAAATATAACTGATTGTTTAAGGACATCGAAAATCAATGAGAAAATTGTATGCTACTTAAGTAGTCATTTTTTGATGATTATAGTTATTGCCTGCAGCCGAAATGAAGTTTATTCGAAGGCCGGCACCCTGAGGTAACTGGAGTATTATGGAATTATGCTGCATAATGATTAGTTTTACAATCCTACTTAATTACTCTTTTCGAAACGAGAACACATTTCGGAATTTTGGCTGACATTTCATGAGTTAATCCACCTACTGTATGTGTTCGAGGTCATTCGCCGACGCGATTTGGTTTACTGACGTTTAATCAGCCGACAGCGAGCCTATCTGATGGCAGTTCAAGGTCGTCACGTCCTAGTGGCGTCGTCGGTTCGCGTGGTACTTTAGATGTCAGACCCGAATCCGCCACATCTTGGTAACAATATTCGTGTCGGTCAGCAGCCGCTAAAGACAAGAAAGACTGCGAAGTTAGCAGACTTCAGTTCTTTGGACGTTGCCTTTCTGGAAGTAATTCTATGCAAAAAATAATATGAGCTACTCGTCAATTTGATCTACGAGAAAAAAACTGACTACACGAATACCGAAGTCCGAGAAAAATGCAGGTTGCTCCACAACCATAAGGTTATGTGTTTTTGGCCCAGATTCCGACTGTTTTGTGTCGCTCGATCTGGCTTTTGTGTGAGGGTAAAAAGTGGAAGTAGAAATTGCGGGTAAGGTCTCTGTGAAAATGGCTTTAGGAGGAGGGGGAGGACGAGGAGGAGGGGCTACATACTTCAAGCGGAAATAGTAACGCGTGAGGTATCCACAAGAAGCAGCGACGTGCGCGCCATAAAGCGAGACTTGGCGCCGGGGTTTTCAACGACTACAATTCACAGGCTCATAAAAACTTAAGTGCCATTCATTTAGTGGTGAATTCGCCAGTTGGCGTCGTAGACGAATCGTCACAGTCGGGTATCTAGAGGGACTATTATCCTGAAGTATATATTGAAACAGTCGAGCGTACCAGTTCGAGGATCAACTGGAGGAGGCTATTCGGTGAGTGTGGAGTATTCTAGGTGAATCAGGACTTGGAAGTCCAACTGATGGCACGAACAAACGCATGTTGGAATTTTGAGGTGCATGACGTAGTGACACCACAATGAGAATGGCCTTTTAGTTGCGGGACGGCGGGTTCCTGGCCATTCATATTAAAGCCATCTTGTTCGCCGTAAGTTGTCGCTGCGCGTGAATCGTGGCTTAACGAACTCCAGGCCATTAACAAGTGCAGCGTCCCCCACCTCCATATTCATTGCTAACTTCGCCTGAGCACAATATTTAGCCAGGCCATGCAAGCGAACACTGCTACCGGTATCGGTGCCGGCGAGCCAAACAATTATCACAATAACCTGGGGGATAAAACTGCAGCAATTAATGAGGACTACGTGCAATCGAGCCGTCGTCACACCAAATGCTAGCATTTGCAGTGAATGTGGAAGCCGCTAACCTTGATGGACATCCGGCGACATGGCCATTGGATACTCCACATACCGCAGCACGTGTCCGTTTCCATCTGACGATAGATTCGAGCGAATCCGAAACATCAGACAAATGGGACTTCCGTCCCAGCGATCGCGTCTCCTGTCTGTTACTGACCATATGTAGCGTTCCGTGTTTCCAAGACACCCAGAACTAAAGAAGAATAGGCGTTCACCGGGAGGGGTTTATTGGAGGTCCGACGTTTCGAGTAGTTGGTTCGTCTACCCAACTTCAAAGACTGGGAAGTCCTGCGCACAGCTCCACAGAAAACCGACTAACACGCTGCACATGCTTAGCTACAACAGCAACCACCCGCTAAAACACAAACGAAGCTGTGTCCGCAAGCTATACCGACGGGTGAAAACTCATTGCAGCACGCCAGTCGCCAAATTGGACGAAATAAAGCTCCTCCAAGAACTCTTCAGAGCCAACGACTATCCGCGGGCATTCATTGAACGGAGCCGAAGGCAGCCAAAGAAACGAAATGAAGAGCACAGTCAGTCAAACTCGTGGCGGAGCATTCCGTGCATTAAAGGGGTCTCCGAAACCATGGATAGATCCCTCGCGTCACTCGGAATAGGTGTTGCCCACAGGCCTGACTCAACAATCCGCCGGTAAGTGATGCGGCCAAAAGATCCGATCCCCAAGCAGGAGATGTCAGCCGTTGTCTACCGACTTCAATGCAGCTGCGGAAGGTGCAACTACGTTGGGAAAACCGGCCGACGGCTGCAAACGCGAATGCATGAGCATAAGCCGGCCGTGCGAAGGTTGGGCCCGAAGTCGGAGGTAGCAACCCATGCCGCGCAAACGGGCCACATCTTCAACTTTGACGCCGTTGAGACTGTGTCCCGGGGCGGTGATCATACAGCAAGGCAAGTGCAAGAAGCCTGGATGTCCACCGACTGCTCTGTCAACCGCCACATCAATTCGCCTCCCCCGATCTGACTTTACGAACCTTCTCAAGGGGGACAGTCACGGCGCGGGACAATCGGGGCCGTCGGCCATCCCCGCGGCCGACGGAGTCGATTCAGGTCACAGTGACATGCGGGTCGGATGCAGCCACACAGGCGGCATTGGCAGGTCACGCATTGAACAAAGTGCGCCACATAAGGGGAGCTGTGCACAGGACTTTCCAGTCTCAGAAGATGGGTAGACGAATCAACTACTCGAAACGTCGGACCTCCAATAACCCCCCCCCCCCCCCGGTGAAAGCCTCTTCTCCTTTTGATATGCCACCTGGGAATCGCATTTTCACTACTACTGACACCCATAACTTCTAATCTCCAAATAGACCTCATCTAGCAGTCTAACTCCCAGAGACTAGGAACGAAATCCAATCTTGCTCTCCAAACTTATGCACACGCAAAATCATAAACTGCTAGCTCTGTCCTCTACAAATGGCATGTCAGGGCTGTTCCTTCAGGGAGCCGTCGTCCCGTTCCACAGTAGACCAAACAACTCAACACAAACCACGCGTGCCTTTGAACGTGCTGAATTGCAGCCGACAGAGCGCAAATAAAATTTCTGTTCCAGTGTTCGAATATCCTCTTTCCCAACTGCTTCCTAGAACTCACCTTTCACTGCAACCCGACTCAATAAACAATCGTGACCAGCTGATGACGACGAACCGCCCTGAAACGGCCGCTTCGGCTTTCTTCGTTTGCCCCGACAGAAGTGCAACTCCAGAGGGCCGTCAAGCAGACCGCCGTCTACTACGTCCACAAGTGAAGATGAGATTTGTTTTGATAATTTTTATGTAAAAAACGCCAATGAAGACTGCAACATCAGCAAACCGATGTCCAACAGCAGTTGATTTGCATCGACAGCGTCACAGGCAGCAGGACTTGGCGCGTAACAAAGAACAATAGAGGCGGGTGCTCCAAATAAAACGATAGAAAAAGAAAGGTGTTAGAATGTAGGTGGAAGGGACCAGGGTGGGTGGCAGGAGGAGGGGTGTCATAACTAAAACTCATCGAAACCATCTACTTCAAAATCATGCTGGCGTGAGGGACCTCGAGGAAGGTGAGATCTGGTGAGAGCCTTGCAGTCCGGGCCTCCGAGGGGTCTGATGCCGGAAGTACCCTACCGACGATCCAGGCGGGAGTGCCGTCCGCTTCGAGGAGGTCCTGACAATAGGCCTCGGCAGACTTTGACGGGAGGACAACCAGCAAACCGCCTAGAAATGCGTGAACAGTTTCATGCGTGAAGCAGTCAAACAAACAACACACAAAAACTTCTAGTTAGTAACTTGACAGGGCGGATTTCAAGGCGGGAACTGACCGGAGGTCTCTGGCGTCAGACCGGTGTCCAGGTGATGGCGTTCAGCGAGGCCGTGCGAGAGGTGGCGTACGCCAGCCAGACAAGGCAAACAGGTGAGCTCAAAGAGGACGGAAGCGTTCTGCACGGCAGCCAGGTTTCGTGCATGACCGAGGAGACCGAACCCCGTGACGTCGGTACAGGCCTGGGCGCCATGTCGGTGCATTAGGCGAGCAGCTGTGGGGGGGGGGAAGGGGCGAAGAAAAGATAGCCAGTCCGGTGAGTAAGTGGCGCAACGGAAATTATTCCACAAAAAGTGAAAATCCCGCAGGCAGTGGACGGGGGGGCACTTAGCGCGTGACGGTGGTGCACAAGGAAATAAACCCGCCCAGAGCGTTGAATACGACGGGAAAAGGCGGGAGGGAGGACAAGAGAAAGGGTGGGAGGGGGACAGAGACCATAGTTCACAAAGGACAACTAGAAATGAGCTGGTTGGATGTCCAAGCATCCAGAACAAATCTGCACAAAGGCAGTTCTTTTCCGGCATATGAATTCATGCCTATACGCCTGAGTATATACAAAATGACAGAGAAGACGTTTATTGAAGAGATGGGTGGCATAAGCAAGGCATAATTTGTTCAAAAATGTACAATATTATTATTACACCTAAGGTCTAGGGGTACTTCCCAAACACGCGCCCAATGTCAACACACACGTATCAGTAGAGCTGGTGATTAGCTTGCGGTGGCTAGTTGCGAAATACCTCTGAAGAACATTCAGGGCGATAATCACTCGAACAGACGTCCAATTTGCGGGAGGGAGAAGGCGAATGAGAAGGCAGTCCGATCACGAGGGCATTAAATGTGTCTTGCAGACGCTCCAGGCAGGTAAATGTATGCAAAAAAGCTATTGGGAATGCGCGGTTGTATTTCGAGTGGTTAAGAAATAGTTGCCATAACAGTATTGTGTCCATGAGGTGCGGCTGCATAACCACATCTTACCAAAACATCTGCCCCAAGCTACATGATAAAGCATTGATGTCAGTTTTCAAGCATTTGTTTGTGAACAAGACAGTCATCGTGTTTCCATTTGTCACAATCAGAATCAATCTACAGGCGGTGAGAAGTGAAACCCAGCCAGCAGATATAGGAGCAGAATTTAAACGGCCAGTCTACGCGTGCCACACATGTGCCCCGGGACCTCACATGAGCAAGAAGGGCATTTCGAGCTGGCTCAGAGATCAAAGGGTCCAGTTATTCCGTCAGCTGGCAGCCCTTGAAGTCAGGACTCTCGGCGCGTCGTCACAGGTTGGACTTATTCTAATGGGGAGTGCGTTGATGCATCGTGAGAACGGATCCTCTGGAGTTGGCCTCGCTCTCTGTTCCACCTTCCATGAACCAGCCAAGACAGATCACAAAGGAAAACAAAGCGTGGTTTGGTCCTGCAGCCCCACCTGATTGATACCATATGGTCAACCACGTCAAAAAATTTAATTGCTGCCATTGCGCTGACTTTACATACACCACATGTTTGCGCCTTCCGTGCTATTTTAATCCAGCGAGTTTCTGTGCCTCGGGGGAGTGCTTATATGCCATCCTCAGTTACACACACGCTTCCCTGTACGGGCTTCGAGATCTGCGGGCGCCCTCCTTGTTATCTTAATCCAGCAAGTAGCTAGGTAAATTTGATGATGGCATTGGTCGGACGTAGTGGAACTCCGTAGGTTCTACTAGTGGCCATGCAATGCCAGTTAACACGCAGTTCCCTCTATGGTCTCGCAGTTGTGATTGCGCCCCTCTTATCCACCTAATCCAGAGAGTGGCTGTGTCGCGGGGGGTGTGCGCACGCCACCTTCAGTTACCAAAGCATCGGTTCACGCGCGCTTCCCTGCGCGTGCTTCGAGCTCTGCTTGCGCTCTCTTTCCCTTCCATCGAGTGGCAAAGTTAGATATGCTAACTAGAATTGTTTTAGGAAGCTACCCAAATGTACCAAGCAAGTGGGGCTGCGGGACCAAATCTCGCCGAAAACAGGGACCAGAATGGCGCTCGTCAGCTGGACCTGACAAATGGGGTACAGAGCCCGTGACTAGGTGGCATCACTCATGAGCTGTGTCTGTTTCTCGACCATGGAAGCACTTAGCGCAGTCGGTCGAGCGGAGCAGAAGCAACTCGGCACAAACTTACCGTTCCGATTTAGACGAGCCATTGAGAAGGTGGCAGCCTTATAGAGACTTTTGAGGTCCTCGGTGGAGATGCGGGAGGCCAGTTTCTCCTTCCAAACGTTGGAGGAGTCCTGCATCCAATTGTAGCCATTCACTGCCAGTTGAGTGCCGAGGGGCTTAGTGAGCACTAGGACACTGTCTGCTTCCGCCTGGTTTGGCCTGAAAACAGAAGTAAAGTGCAATGCCTACGTAGGGTATAGCTGTGGATATTTTCGTGGTTATAGCAGATGTGAGCCCCTTTGTGTGAGACGAAGTTTGTGCAGTTCACTCGAAGTGGGGTAATCGAGAGTATTAGCAGGCTGTCGAAAAAGTGAAGAAAACGTCTACCGGTCTTTCTACGGAAATAAATCAGGCTACTTTGACACGGAATAAAGAATCATATATTTCCGGGATGAGGTCGAATATTCAGAATTCGGTAGCATGAGGCTAATCCGGCTATGACCTAACAATTTCTAAGGGAACTACGTCAAGTACCCCCAGAGTGCGCATATCAGAACTTTCGGGGCTCTCCTAGAAACTTTAAGTGATTATCACGACCAGCTATTTAGAAGATTTCTAATTCTGGGGAGAGAATCTCCTCTGCACAACAGCGACAACTTTGCTCACCAAAGTGAAAATCCAACAGAAAATCATTTATGGGGGAGGGGGGAGGGAGCGGGAAGGCGATTATCAACTTACATGATAAAATCGGAATCTGGAAGAACAGAGGTTGCCACTCCGCCAATCAGGAGCCATGGGTTGTACACCGTCTGTCCGCCGCGCACGGAAGTCCCGGCCTTTGCTGCGCACTCCTGTAAAGAAAATAGGTTCCAGAATGCACAACGAATTCATAAGGCAAACCTGGAAGCCCCTCATCAGTAGTTCATTAACAATGTTCCGCTCTTCGGGGCTCATTTCCGTGGGCACACCCAAAAGGAGGAGGAGGTTATCACAGTCGACCACACCCATTGCGTAGAGGTCACTAAGTACATTGCAACAGGTTATCCAGCCCTACACATAGTGACAGTTAGTGGGACACTCATATAAGCCCATCTACCATGGTGTAGGGGTCATCAACGTTGGCGTAAAAGAAGTCGGTGGTTTGGATGAGTTTTAGGTTATCGCGGAGGGGAATCACACAGCAGTCGAGTTCAGTGGCTAGAACAAAGATGACTTGTCAGTATGAGGCGGAAGCAACTCACAGAGAAGGGGTTTTGCAGATGGATGGGGGCAGGAGGGAGGTGAGGTGGTGGTTTTGGAGCAACCCGCTAGTTTCTCAAGAAGAGCATTTAGCTCCACTTGAGGCAACTTGCAGCCTCATCCTCTGAGAAGAGAGAATGAGGTCAGCCGAAAGTCTTTTCGCAGTCCATGATCAGCTGGATTGAAGAAGGCGGAGATCTGCCGACCGACTGGCCTTTCAGCAGTCATTCTGAGATCTGAAGGAGATAAGGTCACAAACGTAAAATACTTTAAGAAGCAGGGATAGTGTCGTAGCTGACATATGAACGACTTTAAGAAGAAAAGATAGACCGGGAAGCCCATTTAACCCTAGAGGGGGAGATAAGAAGCGCCAGCGCGATGACATTACACTAATCCTGACAACAAATTATCCTAGACTTACGCCAAACTGCTTCAAACAGTTGGTAAGAAATCTCAGCAGAATTATGGAGTTTTCACTCGACCAAGGATAGCGAATATAAACTGACTTATATTATGCACGCAAGGTTGAGATCATGTCTGATCTAGATGGTCTCGATAAATTCAGGGATGGCACTCATCCATGCAAAGATCTAGAAGGCTTGGTCACTCTCTTCCATGGCGGCGAAGACCCAATATTGAAAGGCAACAAACTAGCTCGACGTTTTCACTGACTGTACCGAATCGGGGTTTTGAATTAACCTGTTCATCGTCTCGAGGTGGGCAGCGGTTTCGGGTACGAGGCGGAACACCACGCCCACGTAATGGGCGACGAAAACGTGCTCAAGTCACCTTAGTTGTCGTTCTTGGGTAGTCCGAGATATTTACGTGGTGTAGCCGCAGAGACAACGAACTGTGACGTTCGAAAAAATTGACTGAACTCCACTCAAGGAGTGGTTTAAGGTGACTGCGATCGAAGTCACAACTTTTCAATCTTATATGCTCCCATAGTCCAGAATGCACAATCACGTAAGAGTACTTACTGAAAAGATGCCTGGGACACGCGTACCCTTGTGACGATTCCGACATCGCGACGGTTCACAATCACCTTCAAACGCTTGCAAAAACCGTGTGAACAGCAGCGACTAGGGCAACAGTGTCACTCACGTCCTATATGTCAGCAGCTAAGCCTCCGGATAATTAAAAGCATCTACTTCTTCACTCTATCAGGCGTCAATCCCGAAGGGTACTTTCTGACCAGAGATACAAGTCGCAAAAACCTTTGTCCTCGCCGCGTTGATGGATAAAATGATAGAATTAATGGCCTCAACCGTCTTGGACACTATAATCTGTAGGCCAGAACGGCTTAACGACTGAAGGAAGATATCATCAGCGTAGTCAATGTCAGTAGTTCAGCATCCTGGTGTCAGGAAGACACCTTCAAAACTATATGATATCGTTCTCAGACGCCAGTTAACGACGGAGTTAAATAAGACAAACCACAGGATACAGCTGCGTAGGACGGTAGACCGAATATTGAAAACTTGGTGCGTACGAGTGCACACACAACGATGAGACGATTTAACGCCTTTATCGCCGATAATTTAGCACCACGCACTACCCGGCTCCATTATCCGGTATAGTCACGGCGTATGGAATCACGCAAAGTACCAAAGTCAACAAGGAGGACGGCCATCGACTGTGGGCAGCCATGGCGGTCATCGATAATGTGCCGTGTGCATACATACATACATACATGGAATTTCCTAAACTTAGTCTTATATTTGTTGAAGAAAACCAAGAGGATGGCCTAGCCCAGTCATCAGGGATGATCTCAATTTTTTAGCCAATCCCAACTACATCATGAACCAAGAGTGCCAGAGTGTCGACACAAGATTTGTAACCTGTTGTAATGCTGTCCTCCAGGGTAACCATGTACGTAAGGTCAGGTATCCGCGGGTCACATTTAGTTCCAAAACAATCGACGGGTGAATAAATTCAGGTAAGATCTAGTTTTCAAGCTAACATTGGTGCCTTAGGTTAATTATGACAGCTACATGAGTGCACGTTTTTGCATACCGTAAACCAAACAAGATTGGTCTGTGTCATCGGCCACGATTATGCGAAGGCAGACCAGTTCGTTCGGTCAACCAGAGGGTCTGGCATTTTCTCCTGTGATCTTTCTGCCGAAGCCGGATCATAGAAATTATTGAGCTAGAACACGATACTTGCCTTGTTTGGTGAGACCCGGGCAGGAGAGCCAGGACTTAAGAAAATAATCATCAAACAGGAATTGCCCACTGTAAGGATGCAGAATTCATCAAAATTGAAAGTTTGGATGGGTTGTGCATTTGATTGCAAGCGGCCAGCATTCCGACCTGAAAACCAAATTTCGTACGGGATGCGAGTGGAAAATAAATCCGCCGCGGACCAATAAATCACTTATGTCAGGAAACTGCAACCTCCAGGACAAACCCTACAGGCGACTGTAAAGGCATACATTCTTCCCCATCCAAGGGCGACACAGAATTTGTCTAACGCAAATCAAGTGGCGCTCATCAGCCCTGTGTGTGGCTTTGACCTCCTTGAAAATGTTCAGTGCCCGACGGCCTGAATTTCGGGCTCGCCGTGAAGTCGTTTGTGCACCCAACAATTGTAAAGGCTGGATCTACCAACCACTAAGCAAACACAGGCTAATTTCGACGAGAAATATAACATACGTATACAAAGCGAAGGGTTCGCAAAAAAACCAACAAACAAAGTCTATAAATTTCACATCAAAAGGGTTGGAGATAAAACTGTGCTTACAGCGGGAAAAGATCTTCGAAGACGCTGAACGAATACTACCCGCGGAAAGAAAACCACGAAATAGCATGACACACAGCTCTTAGATTCCCGCCGTTTAAGAGGATTTCCTAATCAGTTAGGGACAAAAACTTCAGTGTGAAAGGGGAGGACTCAGTAGTAGGTTCTCTTTTCAGCTGGAAACTGAGAATATGTCAAATGCCAGTCCGTAAACAGAATGCTTAACGAAAATCTATGTGGATGTTTAGGGACAGGACAGCTGGCAGACGGAAAAACGGCAGCTACTATAAGCGGCAAGAAAGTAGCGGCAGAATGTACTAGAGCCGTTCCGTTTTTCAGGTTAGACCGTGGATTTATAAGATGACTTATCAGAACTTTATGTCCCAAAATGAGTCAGAACTTCTCTGTTTTGGTGCTCTTTTTGAGGGAAAAATGTTGACACTTACTTTTTCGCTTTGTGCGAAACTCGTGCATTCATCGATCTGGATGTCACTGGCGTGGACTACATACAGAAACGGAGATTTAATTTTATTTTGAAAAATGTTTCTAAAACTAGACAGCCTTTAGACGTCGCCATCCACTTCCTATGCTCTTGTGCCTTCAACTTCAAGGTTTTAAAAGCCATGTTTTCTCCGTAATTTTGCAGCTATAGTTCTGCCTAATTCTTAACCTGATCATTTTGTACCTAACTCAGGGGAAGCCTGTCACTTTGATGCGTCTCCACAACGCGGCAATCGCTGAAAATATGTTTCCATTTTGGCGAGGCCTCTTGATCTTAGAAGCAACGACCGACAAACCGCGGGGTCACAGTCGACCTCCAAGGCAGAAAGTAGTGGCTTACTTCAAAAAACTAGATCGAATCCACCTCGTTCCTATGCAGTCCAACCACGCCGGACTCAGCGACATAACCGAATAAGCCCGAAAATACTCCAGTGAAATCTTTCCTTGTTCCAAAATCAAATTTTCCAATTTACAAAGACGATGCGGTTAGGAATCCTGATAGAATATTAGTGTCTAAGGCACGTGCAAACATTATGGTTAGTAATCTCCCCACCATGACAGGTCGTCAGACCTAACTAAATAGTTAAGTCCAATCATATTGTAAACAGTTTTCCAAAACCGGTAAGTTCGTTTTCTAATGCGATTCCTTTCTCGTATTATGCTAATCCTTCTCTGAGTCCTATTTTTTATGTTTCCTTCCATTTTTTGACTCCGGAAAATTGCATTGCTTTCCGTGGATCCTACCCGCCTATGTTACTTTAGTTTGCCTCCACCAATTCTTCCTTATTTAAAACAGCAATGTGCGTAATCTTCATCCCGGGAATAAGCACAGCGTCGTTCCCCTCAATGCGAGATCAGTCGTGCGAATGGTGGCTCAGTTAAGGACTGTAGCCTGCGAATTTTATCCACATATCTTCAGCATTACAGAGTCTTAGATTCACTCTCTAATTTCTGACTAGGCGCTCAATATAAATGCTCTCCGTTTATACCGACAAGATCGCGTTCATAATGTAGTGGTGGTTGTCTTCTTTATGCCGGACTCTCAGTTGTACATTTGCCCTATGACATGATCATTACTTCCTCCTCTGGAAATCTCCGTTCCGTTTTAATCATCCTCCTGCAGAATAGGAAAACACTAATAGGATGTGAGTGCAATCTTCCTGGTTACTCTGGCAATGAAAATACCCTCCGTAAACCTTTGAAAAATTGCGGCAACTCAATCTGATATCCATGTAATTGTGGGCAATTTTAATTTGCCAGAGGTAGACTGGCATACAAATACTTAACCAACTGAACTTCAGATGTTTGTGGATACTATTCTTTTTCCAGCAGGTCATATAATACGCTAGATTTAATGTCTTCTACTAGCATCTACCCTTTATCTATTAATTTTCGCCGTGACCATTTCAGAAGTGACCACGCATCAAATGATTGCTGTCTTCGAGCAATTAGATATCTCGACTATGTTAAGTTAAAAAACAATCAGCAAATGACTTTACAGGCACTCTAGACCAGCAAAGTACTCCACGATTTGTTGCAGTGCCTAACAAAAGGGCTTCTCGATTTCATTGCACTTAACGTGTTTAGATCAAGCACTGCATGTTCCACTGTCTCACTCCTCCTTTAAACCGAATTAAAAGGTTACAAAGTAGCTTAAGGGTCCATCTATAAGCGCGCTATCGGTCCACTTAACAGTCGCAGAAACATTTGAATTAGCTTCACAAATTCAGGTTCTTCCGAGCTAGGCGTATGGAGTCTTCAGCGATTAGTGATGCAAACCCTTCCAGACTGTTAATAATAATTTTATTTGATGCCAGTTCACAGGCACTGTCAAAGATAAATAAAGCATGGATCGGGCCATCAGTGAAAAAACCCCATATGATTAAATACTAAGGATGTTTTTTTGTAGTTTGTGTGGTTCAGGAGAGAAAAACCGCTGCCCATGAAATGATGTCGACCCAGAAGCGGGTGAGTATCACTTCTTCGGATACTTTCAGCCTCATTTCCTTCGCATGAAATTGGTACTGGACCAAACAGATACACTGAAAAAAACCATTGTTCGCTGGAGGCTGGACAAAAGAGAGGCATCGAAAGACCGTCGTTCGCTGGCGGATGAAGAAATTGTCCGTGGTCAGACGGGCAAGGGTGATCACAGTCCACGAACTCCATCATTATGGTAGATTAGATCAGTTGATTCGGCACCAAAAATATGTGGGATTTTCTGATTGCAAAACCGAGTAATGGTCCTCTTAAACAAAGAAAAATGCTGCAGAATCTTTGCATTTCTGGGTGATTTGTTCCAAATTACAATGGCGTTCGCAGAAAAGAAACGACGAAATTTTACGGAACGTACCAGAGGCAGAGAGCCCCCACGGTGATTATTATATCAGGGGTGATCGAAAGATTTCAAAGTAGTAAACGGGTTAGAATTGCGACTGCTTAAGAGCTCAAACAGTAAAAATAGTCCCTTTTGTAATTGAAAAAACTACAAGGGATCAAGGCCTGTAAGCTCGCAACGTTCCTGGTAGGTCAAGGATTGGCGATCCAATGTTAAAACTCTCTTGGTAAAAAAATTTTGGACGTATTCTACTTTCTTGCGCCCAGCGGCATGCATGAGGTCACATGTAGACGAACACTATTCCAGGCCAGGTCTGACATACGTTTTGGCACGTCACTGACAAGAAGGCAAAATTATAGTGGGCCAAGTAAATTACCCTGAATGACTCCACTCCTCACACATGTAGGGTTGGAGATAGCATTGAAAACCTTAACTTGTTGTGTGCGAGCGCCCAGGTAAGAGGATATAAAACTCAGGAATTTGCCACTTATTCCAGAGAAGAAGAGCGTGGTCACGGTCAAAAACACTAATGAAGTCCAAATAGACTGTGTAAAGTGCAAAACCATTGCCCCTAGGTTAGAGAATATAATCAAAGAAAGAGAGCTGACAGGTGTCACAAGACCATGAAAACCACTGTTGCGGGGAGGAGTAATAACAGCTGGACTTGGTAGCCAATTAAAAACAGAAGGCCGTGAAAATATAAGTGAGGGTTTACACTTAGTGTTGAAAGGGGAAAACAATGAGGATATCATCGAAAATGACGCTAAGCAGAAGATCTGAGCCGGTTTTTCGTATCTGTTTTTACCGATGAAACGGACTTTGACGAGGCTGGATTGCCTGCTAGGAAAACCGACGAATTAATAGAAAACATCGACTTCACGGAAGAAGATGTAAGGAAGGAACTTCTAGCTCTTAAGGAGGGTAAGTCTCCGGGTCCAGCCCAAATACCGGCAAAAGATCTGAAGAAGTTGGCTAGCGAACTCGCCAGCCCGTTTTTACGCATCTTCAGGTCGTCCTTTAACCGAGGCATTCTCCCCTCTGACTGGAAAGTGGCGAACATATACCCCATTCATAAGTACAATCAATTATCGGCCGATGAGCCTAACGTGCATTTGTTGCAAAGTTTTGGAGAGAATAGTCAAGTAACCATTATGTAGTTCCTTAAAGAAAATAATTTCATTGCCTGTTCCCAACATGGCTTTTGACGAAATCCTTCCTGCTGAACTAATATGCCCTGTTCAACAGAGCAGTGATCCGCTCGTTAGAGGAGGGAACAAGGGTCGATATCGTTCACATAGATTTCAAGAAAGCCTTTGATAGTGTTCCACACCACCGGTTACTTTACAAGGCCCGAGAGTCAGGGATAAATGGAAAACTATTAAACTGGGTAAAGTACTTTCTGACTGGCCAATCAGAGTCTTTGTGTACTGGTAGTGCGAAGTCAACGCCAGGGCCAGTTGTGAGTGGAGTTTTTCAGGGCTCTGTACTCGGAACAGTACTATTTTTTATTTATGTCAACGGGTGTATGAATGAACTGGACTGCAATGGAGTCATGTTTGCCGAGGACATCAAGTTATGGCGAGCGGTAAACGGGGAAAATGATGAAGGGGCCCTACAAGAAGGACTGAACCGTCTATGCGAATGGTCTGAAAATGGCTGCTGAAGTTTAACCTTGAGAAGTGCGTCGCGCCGCGACTCAAAACGACTGGAAGAGCCGACGGGGAGGATCACCATTACCTGCTTGGTGGAAGGTGCCTTTCAAATTTAACCGGACAAAAAGATCTTGGGACCAACATTTTGTCGACACTTAAGCCTTCCTCTTAGTGCGTTAGGGCGGCCAAAAGGGCAACTAGTGTTCTCTTTGCCATTAAACGAACTTTTGTAGACTTAGAAAAAAAGTTATTTGGAAAAGTATACGGAGCGTTCATTCGTTCACACCTGGAATATGGAATCCAAGCGTGGCGCCTGTGGTTAAAAAAGACTATAAGTTGCTAGAAATACTTTGATAATTTATTTAATTTAATTTAATTTATTTAATGCCAGTTTACAGGCATTGTCAAGGGAAGCGATTGAACACAAATCCGACCAGCACTGAAAAAAACTCCTGAAGAATAAAAATATAGTTGATGGTGTTTTTTATGGTTCGGAGGGTTCAGGAGAAAAAAACACTGCTGGTGGTAGATTTTCGACCGTCAAGAAGGGGAGGAGGGGTTTGCACGGTATCAGGGATT